TTTTTAAATTCAAACCTACATAGATATGATTAACCATTGAGACAGTACTGGCATGCATCAGTATTGCATCAATGATACAATTTCAAAATTTCAACATTCAAGCAGTTTGGCTAAAATGAAACACTAATACAAGCAAGCAGCTATAATAATGCTAATTACCCAACCGTCACTGTGAAAATTATTAAAAAACAAAAAATTGAAGTAGGAATTTTTCTGCAACACGTATAATAAAAATACAAATATGAAGAAGATACGTAGCGTAAATGAAGAAAAGTTTCGATCAACATTATCATCATGATTTGTTAATGTTAAAATAAATGATGCTCGTAAATCAAATTTATAATAAATATGTAATATCACATCAGTTTTTATTAGCCGCACATATTATTCATTCAATTTTCATTTTATGTTATCAGTTTCGTCCAGTATCGAAGTGATTATGTTAAGCGTCGACCACTGTATGTTTATATATATATATATATATTAATTATTTCTACCGAAACAAGTTGAAAAATATAGTCGGGAACACTCATTTTCGCTTTATTCCATGACGATAAGATAACAGAATAGAATTCGAGGTGCACCCCGATAATATATTACAGGATTCTCGTCGGGTTCCATCTGCACCAACACGCCACTTCCCGCTAACCGGGCCGAATAAGTATTTACAATTATACCAGGTTTTCATGATTCACGGCATTCATTATTTTTATGTGAGCTCCATCCCACGCGGTATTTCAGATATGTTTTTCCGTTCCCTGCGAGCAGTGCCGAAATCGAATTCAATCGCCGTACGACGGGCGCGAATAATAATAATATTATCAACAGCGTCGTTGCGTAAAAACATTTTCCGTCGGACAACACGTCGCGACATCGCGTACGATTATCCGTTATACACGGTTCCCGTCGAAATCGTCGCACTGTCGTCTTGCCGCGTTGAACGTCATTCGCGGAGTCCACAAACAGTACGATTTCGATCGAACCAATCGTTGTCACGTGCTATCGGCTCGATTTCTACATGACCAGTCAAAGATGTGTCATTTTTAATCAAACATGAGACTTTTACAATTCAAAGTGCTTACAAAATTCTGATACTAAGTGACGTGAAGCTGCTTGCAGTTTCGTGACTAGGACTCATCTGAATTATAGTCATTTCCATCCTTCTTTTATATGGTTCAACTTACTTCATAGGGCTTGTTTTTTTGGCAATACCCAGAGATAGACCTTGCACGTTTGTCCTTAGTACATTATTTTAGGAATTCTCATATATGGATTGACGGATTGGCACACCTCTTACCTATTACTTGGACCATGATCGATTAGTTAAAAATATTATATTATATTCGTTAAATATAACGATGACTATGCTGTCCACGCAATACATATTATATTGTGTTATATGTGTAATATATGGTAGTCCATACTACTGTTTCCGGCGCTACGATGTAGGGTAAAGCGCGCGCGCAACACGCGGAAGACGTATGGCGCGCACCTGTAGATTGGTTTTCGAACAATTTACCGGCACAACAACAATAATATAGTGATGGTAGCGCACAGAGGTTCTGCGATCCGTCGTCATACGGTCAGCTGGGATCGTTGCGGCCACACGTTTTCACGTCGTAGTGGTCGCCAGCGTTCGTTCACCGGGATTTTACCGTGAAATATTATCGACGTTTTCAAGCCAACTCGGTTTGCTCTCTTGTCGTCGTTCATGTATTTTCACATTCCATCAAGTAATATTCGACGTTAAATGTCTGCGTCGGTCGTGACGGTTTTTTTGTGTTATTTTGCGAACCGTTGCGCGGCTTCGACAATCGAACAGCCGAATGACGAAATTCGGGCCGAACGCGCTATTCCGGCGGTCGCCAAATCGTCTCGCGCCAATGTCCGCGACCGCACGCAGGAGGAAAAGGCGACATAACGTTGTCATACGTACACGTTCGTCCAGACCCGAGCGACGATCGTGAAAATCAACTCGTGTTTTTTGACGCGTTTTCGACGACGACGTTTCGTCACCAAAACGTTTTCATTTCGGACCGGATGAGGTGCACGTCGACACGTAGTTACGTATTCGTTGAAATCTTTCACGGGAAAAATCCACACCATACCCTCGTCGATCCGTGGTAGTGTGTTCGCGGGGCTGCGCGGCCGTGCATCTACGTTTGAACTCGGATTACGTTTCGTAAATCTTTCGCATTTGAATATGTTTTTAATCTAGCGCATGTACGATGACGTTGTCTCATCGGATAATTTTACACCGCAGAACACTGTCTTTTAGCCCTACGGCCGATCCGAAATATTTTGAATGCCAAGCCTACGTTTTCGTTGCGGCTGACACGATATCGCGAACCCGTGATGCATTTTGCCGTGCTATGAACTAGTTAAACGTGCAAAACTTTTGAAAATTATCATAAATGAAAATTATCCAAATTTTTTGAGGCTCATCCCCCTTCCCCTATTTAATCGATGAAAAAAGTCATTACATTTTTTCACTACTGACTTTATCCTTAATTTAGGGTTTTAAGCACTTCCGATTCACTTTTTTTACGCCAATGTAAATAATAGTTTCTTTTTATGCCTTCCGATCCAATCTTTCGTGATCTGAAAACATATTTACGTGTCGAACACTATCTCTATCTCAACGTTCTATATTATACAGCTGTTATGATGTAGAAAAATCTCGTTTGAATCGTTCGTGGACCACTCACATATTACCACGACATCATGAAGGTAAAGTCCATTAACTCGGTTGTACGTTATTGTATGGTTTCCAATAGTTTATCCATCGATCATTTAGTTATATATTTGTTGAAAACAACATAAAATTATCATTAGAAGTATCGACAGCTCTACGTATTTTATCGCTTACGTACGTGACAAGTGATTTATCAAACTGCATGAACCCTGAAGTTCATGGAACTTATGTGATAATTCGGTTTTTTAACGTTTGAATAACGTGCACCGAGGGCCTTCGTATAATATTTAATATACCCACATGAATGTTGGAAAATATTTTTTATTAAATAAAAGGGCATTGTGTTTGTTTTTTTACTCTTCGGAAACCCACTTGTGGATGTAATTCGCGTTTAATTATAAACTAAAATAAAAATCTAAAACAAGGGTAGCCAACCCAAATGTTCTTGCGGACCATTTTAAAAATTAAATATTATCCCGCTGACCGCATACAACATTATAAATACTCAAAGATTTAGGAGTAAAAATTTAAAATAGAACAGATAATTATTATTGCTTATGCTTATATTATTAATCATAAGTGAATTATGTACAATTATACATTCAGAGATATTACGAGTATAATGATTATCGTAATGAAATAATTATTTGTCAATATTAACCTCAATTATTTAATAATTGAAATATTTGTTTTTCAACTTTTTCAAGCTTATTTTAGCTTTTCCAGATCTATATCGATCTACACATTGGCTCGTAGTAATAATGATTTTCTAGTTTCTTCTTTTTGAGCATTATTTGTGTTTGGCAAATTTAATTTTCCAGAAAAACCACTTATTGGTGTTGGTTGATTTAAAAATGTTCATAGCTTTTTTTGTCAGATTTCTCAAATTATAAGTGTTTCCATTTTTAACATAATCGTTCCAGAAATAGATTTTTTGCATACTTAATATAATTATTATATTTTCAGTTATTTTAACTAATGAGATAGTTAAATGTCATTATTTAATAATTACAATTTATTTGATAACTACATTATTAAAACAATATAATAGTTAATTCGTGGCTAGGATATTATTTTCATAAAAATATACATATTTTGTATACGTTTGACAAATTTTGAGGGTAAGAAGTTAAAAAAATTAATAATTATTCAAACCGAATTATATGCTATTCTCGGGTTTGCCATCCCTGATCTACACTTACAGAAAGTAATTTTCGGCAATTGCAATATGTCTTGTCGATACATACATTTAAATAACAAGCTTTTGCCCTCCTCTCTTCTGTAACTATAAAATTATAATTTGATGCAACCGCATGACCATGTTTCCGTGTTAAAGCTGTATTTAGTATACGTATATACAAAATATTTAAATGCTAGATACCCCCGTATAACACGTTTGTTTTTAATGTTTATTTTAATATATGTTATCACTTTCGACAAATATAGTTACCATTACGGTTTGGAATACAAAAAGTTAATTAATCGATATTTCGCTCGGAAACGATGGACGGTCCAATAAAAAACGTTGAACTGTATAAAGTGACTCTGTTTGTGATGACACATTTTGTGCTTAAATCGATAAACCAGATCCTCTGCTATGATATGCAATATGATTGACTATGTTGATGGTGTTTGAGATTCATTGGCGTTTAATCTCTGCAGACCACTTTTCCTACACACAGAATGCAACGTCGTCGAGGAATTGCTACGGTGAAAAATAAACGATCGATCGATAAAATATGTGTTCTTAAAATTTCAATAAAAAATAGACAATTTTTCTGAAAAAAAAAAATTTGATTTTATAACGAAATCTTCATTAATTAGCCGTAAACTGTGATCACGTAACAACAATAAAAAAATACAACTTTACATTCGGTGAACCTTTTCGAAAACGTATTAATTAAACATTAATATATTAGTTACATGGTTGTGTCAATGGTAGTTTCATGTTTGAACGCGGGTTGTATTTTAGGGAAACTACATTTAACTTAAACACGACGTTTCTGGTCAGTCGAATTTTTAGAGTTTGGAAATTATACAATGTGATTCATTTTGCTTATTACCGTTCTCATTTTTATCATTAAACTGGCCATGTACACGCGAGTCCAAAAGCACAGGGATTTTCTCTGCGGGACAGGGGGCCTGAAAATATTTAAATATTGATGATATTTATGTGATGTTTTTATTTATTTATTTATTTATTTTTTTTTTTTTTACGAGACCTATGTCTATTTAAACATATAGTATTTTTACGATTTTCAAGAAATGTTCATACTTATTCTTTTATTATTTGTGTTGTTCATAGCTTATGGAAATTTGGGTTCAATACTGAGCAGTCAAGGTCGGCTAGAAGAGGCGGAGACAGCCCTAAGAACAGCGCTAAGATATCGACCAAATATGGCGGACGTGCATTACAATCTGTAAGTAAAAAAAAAAAAAAAAGTAAATAAAATTCTAAAACGTATATGAGCGACCGATATAGTATTTCAATTACTTTATAGTTAATTGCGGTGAGTAGTTTTAATCGCTTATATAACGACTTGGACGGTACCCAAACGCAAAGTTTTTACGCGCACATCAGTGTTATGGTGAAAAAGAACTATACAAATAATAAACATTAATAATAACTAGTTAATTTAAACATAAATTCCTCTAACCGAATATTCGTTACACGGTAACAGTTCTGTTCGAGTTAACTCAACGGTACCGTACATAAGTTATATAGTACCTTATAATGTATACACGCTGATTTAGTGATAATAATTATCCACATGGCTTATAGTTATTGAACGATTTATATAACTATTATATTTGTTTATTATTCGTCTATATATCATTATAATACATAGTTCAAATGGCAAAACAAATAGAGATAAAAACGTATCTTGAATAAAAATATAAACTAACTATGAAAATACTCAACCATCACATTTTTCATTCCTTCCGAGTAAGGGGAATTATGGCCTATATGCAATGTCGTATTTAGACAGTTTGCGTACCAAAGCAAAAACAAAATGGTGCCTCTTTTAGGGACTTACAAAGGGAGATAGTTCCCCATGAAATCTTTAGATTTTGAACTAAGCAAAGAATGTATTGGTTATATGATGATGTAAGTTCTTTTATAAAAAATATTTAGTTTTATAATTTAGTGAACCCCTCTCCAAAGAAAACATAAATATATTCTGGAAATCTCATATAGCCTGAATTTTATTCTTTGAATTTAAATTTAATTTTTAAATTTTAAATGAAAATATCTACGTCAAGTAGGTAATTGTAATATACCAACAAAATATATTAATAACCTTTATTAAAATTAATTCCTAATACAATTTTAGTAGTAATATTTAAAATTATTTATGGATTCAATGTTATTATAATGTATTTTAATCTATTTAAATTATAATTATACATTATAAGTTTATAAGAGATAACAAATAAATGTTACTAACAACTTTAAAATGAAATGTCACTTTATATTTCATTTTGAATTATATTAACATATGTCTCAACACTTTTCAAAATCACAGGTATGAAGAAAAAATAAATAATTTATTGAATAATAACTTTTTATTTGAGGAACTATATGTCCTTATTCCAATTCACATTTCTGACGCCTATGTAAATATAGTAAATATATTATATTTATGATTTAGAATGTCCCGCATTTAAAAAAGACATCTGAAATCCACGGCGTAGACCTTACATGCCTTGCTTATACATATACATATATGTATATACGTATCTATATTTATTTAATTACATTATACCCATTATTCACCATAGAAGTTGTTTCATTTTGTTGTTGTTTTACATATTTTGGTAGTTAATTGATTATGTTATTAAAATAAAAATATCTTAAACAAATTTCAATTTCAAAAGTTTTAATATTTTATAATATATTCAAATATAATTCATTAAACATATTTTCGATCCCCTTAAAAATTTGGTTCTCCCAAAATTTTAGCACCCAAAGTGGTTGTGACCATCACTCCCCCCCCCTTTAAATGTGACTCTGCTTATATGTCGTTATTCAAAATTTAAATATGACAATTGTAATAAAAACCGTAAACTTAATCTGCTATTATTTTCTTAAAATTTGTTGAGACTTTTTTGATCAGTTTTCACCTAAAACTGTCTAATGCTTATCGTTTCTTCGAGAAAAGATATTCGCTTTTGTCTTTGGAATTCGCAAAAAATTGAAACAATAAAATTCAAATAACGTACTCATTATTTTATTATTCAATCCTTCTGATCGAAAAATCGAAAAACATTTTCATAATTCGCTTTCAAAAATAGAAAAAATACCACGTATCAAACCGATTATCTTTATCTTCCTCTGCTCAAATTCGAAAATTTATCTCGTGCAATGGTAAATGTGACAATTTATTGAAACTTTTAGAAAAAAAAAATAAATGGCCAACCCAGTCGGTTTGAATAATAATCACTTTTCCGTACTACACGATATCAGGTGACTTAGTGAAATGTTCAACCGATATTGCGTCGATGTAATCGCGGCCACCCGTCGCATTGAAATACAAACACTGATAGATTTACCGGAAGAAACTAACTTAACCTGTTATGATTGCGAAAACGTCATAATAAATAGGACCGAAATGTCTTGGCACCAGAACGTTTTGGCACTTTCTCTTTATTAAAACTCATCTGCTCTCGTCTTTTCACACATCCGAAAACCGCCGTCGTCCCCTTCACGTGCCGCACCCGCGTTCGTTGTCGTCGGGACACGCATTAATCAGTACACGCTCACCCCCGAGTCCTTCCCCAACCCGACCGATCATCCCCATCGTGCACGAGTAATTCCGCGAATATTGTGTGACACTGCCGCGCCAGAGACTTTTGATTACCACACCGCGTGGTGCACTCTGCGGTACTATAAAACGTACGTGATCCCTTTGCCGCAAGTTGCCTCATCCGGTTGAATCCAAGCCAAGACCGCGCGCTTCTACTGTCGCAATCTCCATCTGTTTCAGTGGGTCGGCACATTTCTCCTAACATTTCTCGAATTGAAAACGTAAAACGTTCGTATAGTTTATATTGTATACAACGGAAGACAACGGCTGAAGACGTTTAGGACTGAAGGTGTGAAAGATAGATCGCGTGAGATGATTTATAACCTTGTATAATGGATAGCAAACATAGTGAAGAGGTGTATTGAAATCCATTTGACTCGACAAATCCGAAGCATCCCTTACTCGGGACTGTCGGCGAGTTTGAACATAAAGCACACGCTTTAAAACGCGTTTTCTTGTGGGCGAGCTCTGGTTTATGCCTGGTTATCCTTAAGTTTAAATCAAATAATTAAAATTTTTTGTTTTCATTACAATATTCCAATGTAAAAAGATCTATTATTTTTTTATTTATTTATTTATTTTTTTTTTTTTTATACGAATCCCGTACATGGTACTGCCAAAATGTACTGTATTGAAACGTTGTACAAACAAGTGAAAGTGGTTTATTAATGACTTCAGTGTATCGGAAAATCTGATCACGAAGTAACATATTAATGTTATGGATATCCCAAAGACTCGTATAGCAAATCATTTTCTCCCTATGGTATTAATAATATACTTATATCCGTTGCGTGGAAGTAAAAGTGATGCCTAAATCATTATTTTTACAAATAATTAAGTCCAATAAAGTGAAGTGTTTAATGTATTATAAGACGTTTTTAATAGATTTAAGAGACATCCTAAGACTGATAAGTTGAAATGAAACCTAGAATTCGTATGTGTATGATCAACGAACTTTTGACACTCAGTAGGTAGTTGAACATTTATTGTTTTTTTTTTTTTTTTTTTATTTATTTAAACTTACAATGTGTCAACATATTACATGTTATTACAAGGTATTATTTATATAATAATGATACGGTTAAAAGAAAATAATAATGATGTTGTGGAATGAAAATAATGGATAACTAATTTTAGAGAGAGATAATAGTAATATAGTTATTATAAATCACAGTATTATAATGGTTGGACGTTACATAATTTCAATTAAAATTTTAGATAAAATTAATGAGGATAGGTCTGAGAAAAGATAAGATTATAAAGGTATTATGAGACGGTGTGCAATAGTATTATGGAGAGATAATGCCTTTAGCTATTAGTGTGTTTAGGACTGATGTAAGGAGGGAAATTAATGGATTAATTAAAGAACTTAAATTGGATATGAGTTTTGAAAAGGTATTTGATATTTGTTCTGTGATTTAGTTTTAGTTGTTGATGGCTTCTGCATATGGTTTGGTTTTGGTTCTGGGTTGAGCTGTTGAGAGTGAGGGTCAGGATCTTTGACTGGTTGAAACTTTTGAGCAGATTTTTTAAGTATTGACTCGAATGCTGGGCATCCTTTGAAGTTTGCGATGTGGTCTTTAGCGCATAGAGCGCATATGGCTGGACTATTTCGGTCCTTGGTACACTCAATTGTCAGATGGTTTTCACCAGATTTGACACATCGAGCTTCATGGTTGCAATAGTTCTTTGTATGTCCATAGTCTTGGCAATTATGGTGTTGCGGTGGGCCACGTCTTTTTTTGAATGGTTTTTCGATTTTCACTATTGTGTTGTGAAGAGATGTAATTTCATGGATATCATTGTTATTATTTTGCTGACGGATATCCACGAAGAATACTGGAAGTGGGCAGTTGTTCCTGTTTTTGGCATTGTAAATACTCTTGACTGAATGTCACTGTTCAGTAAGAGCAAAAGTAGTATCGGTGTGTAAGGTAGAATTATGTAAATTTTTACTGACGAATCTGTATGTGCGATGACTTGGGGGGGGCGGGTAAATGAATGGAAACTAGCGTTTGTTTCATGTAAATGATCTATTATTGCATTGTAAGTTCGTTTATCGGTGGGTTGTACAATGAGATGTGACGGAGTTGACTTACAGGTGTAACCATTGGGTCCGGTGATATTTTTTAGGATGGTGTTGAATGCTGAGAAGTTAGATATGTTTTTGATGTGGATAGGAGGAGCCACGGGCTTAGCATTGTGAACTTTGTGAAGTGGTCTGTCCGGATCTTCCGTGGTGGTAGTTGAAGGTGTGGCGAGTACATTGTCTTCATCGGTGTTGAGTACGGCGTAACGGTTCGGGGTGATAAAAACTTTTTTTTTTTCGATTTAACTGGGTGAACTGTTAGATAGGTTTCGCTTCATTGTTTTAGGTGTATGCGGCATGATAATGACGTAATATTATTGTGACAAGTTATATAATAGCGATATGATAACGGAGCGCGGACGATTACAACGTGCGTGTGTTCATGTTGAACGTTGCGGCCGAACTTAACGTTTATTGTTGATCGTGTGAAAGTGAAGGAAATCATTATTCGAGTGCATTTTTTTTTTCTTTATTGCTTTTATCTTTAAGATATCATAGCATGACAATTATTAGAATTTAGATA